GAAACCATGTACCCGCACGGCCCACGTCATAAGACTGGCATGCCGGTTTTCTCTATCACAGCCACCAGGAGGGAATGCTTAAAGGGGGTATTCCTGCATGCTGGATCAGCTCGTCAGTTCAGCGTGGAACAGCGAAAGACTTTCTATTCGCAAGTTGCTTGGCTCCGCGCCGATTGAGCACCCAGCACGCCCAACTCGAACCATCCCACACAGGGGTATTGGAGCGCGGGGGTGCAGGGAATGCCAACGATGTTCGCACTCTGGGCACTTTGCCGAACATCTCCTTAAGAGGTGACAACAAGGTCAGTATTTGAAGCATGCTCTCAGCAATTAACTTGTACTATTTAGGTGCGTGCGAACATGTTTTGAGACCAGTACTGCACATGCTGTTTCTATAGGCGGTGTTCTTAGCCTCATGGTTCGCCAATGTGTTGCCTCGGACTTGGCATGATTCTCCAACGCTCTCAACGTCATCATCTGAGCGGTGTGCCTTGACCGTCACAGCGCCATGCCTAGGCTTACCACTCATTCTCCTTTATCCCGCGTGGGGCCTGTATGTCGCTCTGCCTGCAAAAGTTGGGCTTCACCCAAACTACAGCTGGACAATCCGAGTGCAGGAAAGTGGCAGAGGTGAGAGAAGCCAGGGCAGGGACATCTCTCAGCACACTCTCATTACAAGAGCCCTCCTCGAGATGACGCTGAAACACGCACGTTGCATGATGCTCCGCACCGGCAACAATTTGAAAAATTGAATCGGGCATTGGCCCAACAATGCCTCGAACGAGATCGCCTTTTGCCGCGACCTCAACCACAACAAACCCGGTTCTGGCAACATGGGGGGCCGAACCGTCAAAGCAGCTCCCGTCACTATAAAACGGATTGGACGGGGCCATCTTCACTTCAGTAAAACACCTCTGGCTCCTCCACTGGCATGCTGGTGACGAGAGGGGGAAACATCCAGTGGAAGGAGGAGAGAGGCACTTGGTCCCTGGTGGAGGGCCATGGCCCTAATCTCCTCGTCCTGGCCCTCAGGATCCGCTTCGCACGAAAGGGCACTCCCATGCCCTGTGAAAAGCCGTGTCAGGCCGGCCGCACCGAGGGAACGGCCCGTCCGCGCTGTTGTCCCCATCTGTTCAAGGTGACCCCTGTGGGGTACTTACCTGTGAAGACCTGCACCCGGAGACGCTGAAATTATTAGGGGCACTTCTCGGCGGTGGACACACCTCCTTTTAGTAAACCTCCATGTAGTGAAAACGGCCTAGGACCGAAACCGACGGACCTGGACCTGCAAAAATGACGGCCGCGACGCCCTCTCGCGAACCGAGAACGGCCAATTCGCTAATCGACGTGTCAGGATAGGAGGTATATCAACCTCCGAACTACTGGCCAGCAGCCTGCGCGAACTCAGGGTCCAGAGGCCTCGATTGCGGATCTCCTATGCTCTGCAGTTCGAGGTCTCTAGTGACAGGCTTTATGAAGTCTTGCCTCACATCATCCATGCAATCACGGCTTTGGCATAAGGAGGAATGGAAATGAGGTAATGGTGGGTGGTGAGTGCCGTCAGCGCCCACAATCATACCCGGGTTGACGCTCTCCCTTCCAGCCTCCTTCATCCAAGGACGTACATCTGCCAGGGGTCTGGTGTTTCTTCTAAGACAGGTCGCCGAAACAGGGTGGGCACGACACTGGTCCTGGGTATTCCTGAAATCTTGGGTCAGCTTACGCACAGTTAAGCAATCCCCCTTCTCCTCCTCCACGTCCTCCCACTCCTCCTCCTCCTCCTCCTCCTCCTCCTCCTCCTCCTCCTCCTCCTCCATTACCTCCCCCACCTCCCTTGTCCCTTCCTGTCCCTCCCAAACCTCACGTCCCCCTCCCCCTCCCTCCATCCCCATTCTTGCTAATTGACTCCTCCCCATCGCACCATCAGTCGCGTCGTTAGGGAGGGCCGAGCGTTTCGCCTGATGCGTCCGCGGTTTTTGCGATATCGATGCCTGGGAGTTTCAACAATTACGCGGATCCAGGGCAAACCGTATTCAAAATGGGGATCTCGCGCTGGCGCCACGCACCTTCGCCCTACAAGTCAAACAGGTACACGGATGGATGGGCATATCGTTCTGAACATGGGGATTTCGTCTTGGCTCATGTTTGCCAGCGTGGCCCGAGCATAGTGCGTCAATGCACTCTGGGTGTGTGTGTGTGTGTTACGTGTGTTGCAATCCATGGGTCGCAAGTTTTGTGGTGCAAGCCAGGTGGTCCAATCGTGCAACCTGCGTGGTGCAATCTGTGACATGAACGCTATGCTATGCGAGCTACGGGACGCAATCCGTGAGTTGCAGCCCATGTGGTCTACGTGGTGCAAGCTGGGTGGTTAAGTGGTGTACCATAGTTGGTGCGACCTGCGCATTGCAAGCTGCATCGTCCATTCTGCACGTCGTGCAACGTATGTGGTGCACGATATGCTGGACGACGTCTGCGGCACACGCTCTGGGACGCAAGCCGC